AGTTACGCAGTTAGACATTTCAGTGTAAGGTTTTTGTATTCATACGGCACTTGTATTGTTTTTGCTTGTTCTCTCTTTCGTCAAATTTTATAAATTATATGCCAAATATCTAAACTTAGAATAATTTTACGGTATAAATTAAAATTTTCCGTCCGTATCTCCATTGCGTTAATTTTAACATTAAAATTAAACAATTTTGATGCACTTGTGTGTAAAATATATAAAGTATCCAAAAAATAAGGGGATAAACATATTATACAGTATTGAGAGGTGAAACGATATTTGGTTTAAATGACATTTTTCCAACTTTACAGGAAAGCCGTTTAAAGTTTAAAATTTGGAAAAAATATCATAACAAAAAAACTTCTTCCGCTATATGAATGGAGTAAACTTAATTGAAGTTTAATTAAAAGCATCGAAGTGTTAATGCTAATACCAAATAAAAAATAACGATTACTAATTTTCACGTCCAATTTAAACTTATTTTGTAATTTCTTCTTAATTTTGAATTTTCATTTTAAGAATTTAACCCAAATTGCTTTATATTTTCTTACGCCCTAATCGAATTTCCCACCAGGTAATGACATTTTCCTTATTTGAACCCTTTTCAATAATCGTCAGAGGGTTTTTACGAAATTTTAATCTTTTTCGCGTCGTTGACACGACAATTATTTATCAATGATCCGAAATGAAGTTGTGCCTGACCGCTGGTTACTAATGCCGAGTGCCAGCTCTAGTTATTTGCGTGCAACCAGTATTACGCTGAATGATATTAGAATTTAGATTTTAATTTTAATTTTCAACGGTAGTTGAAGAAGGTATTTAATATATATTTGTTATTTTTCCTCTACCTAAATACTTTACTGGTAGGACCTCTTGTGAGTCCGCGCGGGTAGGTACCACCGCCCTGCCTATTTCTGCCGTGAAGCAGTAATGCGTTTCGGTCTTAAGGGTGGGGCAGCCGTTGAACTATACTGAGATCTTAGAACTTATATCTCAAGGTGGGTGGCGCATTTCCGTTGTAGATGTCTATGGGCTCCAGTAACCACCAGGTGGGCTGCGAGCTTGTCCATCCATCTAAGCAATAAAAAGATAAATAAATAAAACTTGCATATTATTTGTATCTTATTAATATAATTAACTGGAGATCCAGTATGACAAAAATATAGGTCTTTAAACGAAACATGCATGATAAAAATGAATTATTAAAACTCAGGTACCTTCTAGATATTTTGTACTTAATTTATCCTGAACTGTTGAACACGTAATACATTCAGTTGAAAACAAAACACTAAATAGAGCTAGATCCAGAAAAACCCTGATAACTTGATAAATTAAGGGTTAACTGTATTTTGATAATAGCTAGTCAGTCGTCAAGTAAAATGTCTAAATTCCAAATCTAGGCTTGTTCAGATTGAGCTGAGTGAGTTATCACCCCCGGCTCTTTGTCGCTAATGTGTTTCATTTATCATCCCTGTTCTGACATTATTGGATTTTTCTCTTTCACATGCAAGCTTTATCAAAAGCAGCTGCAAGGATTTCAATTTTCGTCAAAATAGCTTTTGTGATAAATAGACTATTAAAATGTTTTGTTATGGAACAATACTGTTTCTCCAACAATATATTTCCTTTCTTATATTTGAATATTTTTTTCCGGCCACTTCCTTCGCTTATCTTCAAAACTCCCTTTCGTACTGATGATAGCACACACTGAGCCACTGACCAATTTTTATTGCAAAAAAACTTCATTCTAATCCCTTTGGTTGCTCTCAGATCTTAGTCCACGAATTACGAAATCAAATCATGGTGCGCCAATGATATTTAGTAAATGCGGAGCAAGGAAACCTAAGTGAAAAAGGAATATCCTAAAATTACATCGCTTTGTTTCAAAATCTCCCTAGATTGAGGGAAAGATACGTAGAGAAAATAAAAGAATAGCAACAATTCCGCAAACTTGTTCTGAGTATTTGAAGGCAAATTAACAGCTTAGATTCATCAATCTGACTCTCAGTAGATCACTCAATTATTTCTGCGCTACTCTAAAATGCAAGGCAACTTTGAAAGCCACGTCGCTTATTTTGCTCCCGACTTCCTTAAATCCGATAGGAAGGTTTTCCTAAATTTGTAAGTATTTTAGGTATTTTAAAACAGAAAACAACTTTTTAAGGATACGAAAAAAATATGGTCGAATTGCAGATAAAAAGCAATAAGATATATTCCTATAAATTTATTTTTATTTTTATTTGGCTTGTTCATAATTTCACAAATTCATTTCAATTTCAACAACAAGTTAAAGATCTCTTACGAACCGTCTGTAACGTCTTCAGATACTTTCATAGATCACACATGTAAACATAGCTATAACTATATTTCTTAGGAATGATCAGCGCAATGTACAGTCGACGACAACTTAATTATAGAAGATAGCATTCACGTTGCGAGTGCAAGTGGATCACGGAGCCATTACTATGGTAATATTAACCTTAGGCCGCCGCGCTGTGGCGTTTGCACGCTTATTTTAATTGCTATTTCATTTTAATGCAATACGAAATTCAGGCTTTTCTGTTTGTGTTTATTATTCTTATGTTTTCTTATAAAAATCTATTTTAATATCAAATTTGTTCGATGTATGTATATGTTCGAGTGCTCGTAATTATAAAATTTTGTGGTGATTTATCACCGAAAAGAAATGTATAAAAATAAATTTTGGGCAATATCATATAATTACTGATACAGGAGAACCACAATATTTATATGATTTCTCAAGAGCGGAGTCAAATGATATTGAAATTAATACTGTGTTATTCAAACTTTCGTGACTTAAGTAAGATTAGGAAGCCATTCATTAATACGCTTTTATTAGCTTCAGACGTATACATTGTTTGTGTGTAACGGAATCTTTCAACATGGTTTAGAACCCTTTCAAAACGTCAGATTAACTCGAAATTTGGCATACTTATTAAGAACCGATGACAATTCATTATTTAAGAAAAAAAATTAATAAATTGAAATTCAACTAAAAAATGAAAAATTAATAATAGTTTTAAAAAAAAGAAACTAATAAAAATACGCTTTTATAGAAAATCCAACTAAAAAATAGATGCTTTTTTACAATACAATCATTTTTTTATCACTATTTTTAATTCAAATTTACTAAAATTTATTTTCTATTTTTTAGTTGGATTTTCTATAAAGGCGTATTTTTGAAACAAATTTTTTGTATGTATCTATGTTCAGCAAGTGGCAGCCTTTATGCACATACCTAAAGCCTTTGTATTCTTCGCTGATATTAATCATCTACGACTATCAATATCCAAAGTCAAACCTAATTCAATTTAATTTGGAAGCTACTTCCAGAAGTTCGAGCTTCACTTGAAACAACCCATACTCAACTATTCCGTTTGACTCGTATTTGCTCCTTATTCATTAATGTCAATATTGGTTCGGCAAGCACTTCCAGCTCTGTACTGCGGTTTGCATTAGAATTTGTATGTGACCTATGAATATGTATGACATGATTTGGTTAAAATATAAGTTGTTTGATAGATTTTTGTTTGTAATTTTTGGTGCTACTCTAACACAGAGCCCAATATCTCAAGGGATGTGTTTCCAAAATTTTTTTTTGGCTTTGCTGTAACTTCTATCAATAATGTGAAATGTCTATATAATAATATCATATTTTTCGATTTAATATCCCTATAATAGATCTAAATGTACTCTATCTTTAAGTTTTATTGTAGTAATCGTATGTTTGATAAAGTTATTCAGTAATAATGTTTATAATAATATAAAAAAAAGTAATTATATGTATAGAAAAGGTCAGAGCAGCCGATACAAACAATTGTATCCGCTGTTTCAACCTTCAAACCGAACGAGGTATAATATTTACTCGTCGAGCTAATATCTATTATTAAAAATATTTAATAAAAAGCTATGTTTCAATAACTACGATCATTAAAACGTCCATGTCATTTTGCATCGTTTTTATTGTACTTCTATATCTAATTTATTGCATATAATTCGAGTCGAGTTGCATATATTCATATGTAGATAATCCAGTTCTAGTCTATTTAAATGTATATATACTCATAGATATTTTTAACTAACTGATCTTAAAATAAAACTACTTCTACTGTCTATATTGGCATTTTTTTAATAATTATTTCCCACGTTTCAGATACCTGACATTTTTCATGCTCACGGACGGCTAAGGCGTTTATTATGCTAACCACAGTCTATTTTTTTTTAAACTATTTCTTATCACACAGAAAGAACAAGCAGTATCTAGCGGGCTAGTTGCGTTTATGACTTGGGTTTTCATCTTTACGATAAGAGCATCCTAGGTGATAAATAAGGATTCTAAACGTCGGAAGTTTAATAGTTGAGTGAAAATAATAAAAGCGAGGCAAAAACGTAAAAATAGTTTTAATTTTGTCTACATCTCGCGAAAACCGAAAAAAATACCGACAAATCCGTTAAAACACTGTCGATAAGCCCGAGGTCATTAACCATTTAGAAGCGATTCGTCTGTGAAGAAACTTCGATGCCCTCTGTATTTGTATTGTATGATCCGAACGTGCTCTATGGTGATCAAAGGAATCGCTTGCGGTGATCGAGTTATCTACATTATTTATCATTTTCTCTTGTACAGATCCTGTAAAAGGATCCGTTTATTTCAAATAAATACAACTCGTTGAAGACACACAATGGCTCGTCCACTGCGAAGAAGAACTAGACGGCGTGTCAAAACAAACACGGGCTTTTGAAGTTGGTATTTCGAACGGTTGTTACGAGTATCTTGGAAAGCAAAGCGAAGCAAACATACGTATTTACCCCTTTATTCTTTTCTATTCAAAGTACATAATGAAACATATTATTATCATACTTTATTATGCTTTAATAATTTACTAACGCTATCAAACGCTAATTTTAATATTTGATGTTGATGAAAGCGCCTATTAGTAAAACTAACCTAACCTAGTGTTTTATTGTTGTTCAGTATTATGCTGTGAACTTACCGCACTAACAAACGTATACAAAGATGAAGGAAGAATATTATCTGTAAGTTATTTGTATTAAGATATTATTACTTCGAGACTTGTGGATAAATGCTACCAAAACTACGTTCCTTCACATACAATTGACAGATAGCAGTGGAGTTCTAAAAGTGGAGATTTAAGCAAATACCGCTCGACCACCCGGGATAACACAATTTTCTATAGAGTTATTTAAATTTTCCGTAGACAGGTGAATTAGTTCTTGACCCATCTTTTTTATGCTAGGGAAGCCTTTACTGATACCCGGTCGAGAGGGTAGCAGACCGGGCTATGTCGGACTCCGGTGTCTCTAGATAAGAAGAGGGAGACAAGAAAGACCGAGGTCCTCCTCCTCCTCCGATTTCTCTCAGGAGACTATGCCTTGAAAAAGACGCACGAGGAACCCGCCCTGCAGATCCGACTACCGACTAAGCTCCATCGAGCTACCGGCTAAGCCGGCGAACCACACCGGCTAGACGAAACCTACGGTACCGCATAGTGCGCGCCAAAAGAGTTCATGACCCACCTGGTGTGGTGTAGTAGTTATCGGAACCCATAAATATCATAACGTGAATGTCGTCAGCCACCTTGAGACATGAGGTCTGAATCCGCAAGTAAATTAGGACAAATTACTACTTCGTACTACGTAGAGTGGTACCTGTACATATTATGTACGTGGTGTTTTTTTTATTGCTTAGATGGGTGGACGAGCTCACAGCCCACCTGGTGTTAAGTGGCTACCGGAGCCCATAGACATCTACAACGCACATGCGCCACACACCTTGAGATATAAGTTCTAAGGTCTCAGTATAGTCACAACGGCTGCCCCATCCTTCAAACCGAAACGCATTACTGTTTCACGGCTGAAATAGGCAGGGCGGTGGTACCTACCCGTGCGGACTCACAAGAGGTCCTACCACCAGTATTGTTATAATAAGGTGATTTTGAATAGTTTAAATGTTTTTCTTTTTTATGTTCCAGACAACATCCGAGAACTCAACTGTTTTACAAGGTGCTTGCCCATGTTTCGACGATCGAAAGTACAATTGACTTAACATGGTGGGGATACACTTTCCCGAAGTACGTGGGCTGGTTTTACCATCTGCAGTGTAATGTCGTCCGGCTGTTCGGCAAATGCGTGGTCGTATCGCAGATACTTTTTATAATATTGAACTACCAAACGATAGATAAGTCAGTATTCATTATTGCAATCACAATAACACCGCTGGGAGCGCTTGTTGGGGTAAAAAACTTTTTAATAACTTATTAATGACGTTATTAATGACTATTGATACTTTATCATTAGATTCTAATTCAGTAATATTATGTAAATATAAAAACACGCGAGTAAATAATTAAAAAAAAAACAACATTATTTTCCTTTTTAATGATTAAACACCAGCGCATTATTAGTAGAGCTATTCAAATGGTGTTTTAAGTTAAAAAAGTAATATTAATAATAAAAATGTAATAATCACTATTTAGTTAAAGAGATAATTTCTTATTGAAATAAAGTGACAAGTATAACAGCATATTATGTACTATAATTGTTAGTGTTTTGAGCCCGCACGGGTAGGCCTTCCTTGCTCCCTTGAGCAGTAATGGATTCTAATTTGAAGAGCGGGATAGCCGTTATGCTATGTGACCTTAGACTGAGAGATAGGACTTGACCACGTGCTTCAAGATCAGCAGTGGAAGTCACGTTGTGAGATTTGGGAGATTTATCCGACTATTAAATAAAAAAAGAGAAATTTCAAAGAGAATCATTATCTCTTTAACAAATTTTGTGATACGGAAATATACAGTGCTCATATTATAAACTTTAATTTCAAGTTTAAAGTTAATAATAACCTTTTTAAGCTTAGTGTTATGATTTAGATCAAAGCTGAATCAGCAAAAGCTGAATGCTACGTCAATTTAATGAAGAATTTCATGGATAAAGTTCACATTCACAGTATTTATCGTAAAAACGAAAACAATGAATTCGTAAAAAAGGTAATTTTTTCAATATTTTTTTAGGTGTTTTTTTTTTATTACAACAAAATATTGCATAAAACATAAGCCCTTTTATATAATAAAAAAAAACCGTTAACATACCCCGCCGTACCGTGCCAAGTCGTGCCGTGCCGTACCACGGCATACCGCACCGTATCGCCCCATACCGTACCGTATCACGCCGTATCGTACCATACCTTTCCGTGCCATTCTGTAACGTACCGTACCATACTACTTTTATTATAAGTGAATATTGGTGGGTGAGTCATCGAGCTTAAGCTGTAATAACCAAGGCTATGATTAGAAGTAGTGAGAAACATTTGTTTGCTCCTGACATCGTACCTGCAGTTTTCAATCTACCAGTGATCATTGCATTTGAAACTCATTAAATGTGAAAGTCGTGGAATGTACCCTTCAAAATTTTAGTGTTTATAATGCAGATAGATAAAATATTCCATAAATAACTTACTTATGTTTCTGACTCAGTATCATCCATGGCTATTACATTTCCACTGGAATCTCGGGATCCTTTACTGAATATTACGAAATTGTTTGTTTTCATTTTACAGAAAGTAATACAAATCGAACGAGTGTCACGCTTTACTGCGTATTTCCTCGTTATTTTGATAGCGATCAATTGTCTATCTTGGATGCTGAAACCCACCTTGCACAACATTAAACATTTCGAGGAAATCATGAACAAGTCCATGGAATTCCAGTACTATATTTATTTTTGGACGCCATTGGATTATAAATACAATTTGAGGGACTACATAATAATACACACGTTGTGTATATACTTGGGCGCGACTGCTGTAACGGTTATTGTGACATTCGATATATTTAACTTCATTGCAGTTTTCCATGTAGTTGCGCATATCCAAATATTGAAAAATAATGTAAAATCGAACTGGTCGGATGATTTCAATGAAAGTGAGAAAAAGGGGTATTTGGTGAGCATACTGGAATATCACGCGTATATCATAAGGTAATTATTTTAAGATTAAGATAATTAAATTTTAAAATATATATATTCTTTAAATGGAAAACGATTACACGACGCATCTGATTGATGGATACAAGTCACCCCCGCACTTGAACGTTAATAAAGCTAATATCAAAACCAAATCTCACCTTACTCTTTATCTTTTTTCTTACTATCTTTCATAAGAAGAAAGATATGATACGAAAGTTATGAAGAAAGATATAAGAAATACATCATAATGTCGAGCTAGTTTTCTTTTAGTAAAGTTCTTTTAGTAAAGTACCTATTGTGGATGGGAATTTGGATATATAAATTGATATGTTGAGGATTGTATGATGCATAGATAGATTCAGTTCAGGAACTAGGTGGTACGGTTACCGGAGACGATAGACATGATAAATGGAACGCTGTCAATCAACTACATGAGATCCAAGTATCAATTGTATAACTGTTTCGCAAAAAAATAGGCAGAATGACAGTACCACGATATAACCAAAAATTAAGGAAATTTAATTTTTTACGGAATTTCATTTTAATGCACAATCCTGTCGTGGAAGGCATTCTAGAAGACATCCATAATGTATTTTTTAAGAAAAATTAGTACCCGCCTGAGGAATTTGAGCACAGGCGTGGTCACATCACTAGATGGAAGTGCATCAGGAATCTTACTCTTAAAGCTACGACTGTATTTGACACCACTATGCATGACATAAGTTACATAAGGAATAAAATTCGATGAATTAAAAAAGTTTCTTCTCGAGATTAATTGGCCGCTAGTTAAGGCATCGTATATTTTATTTAATCATTTTTATTTATCGTTTCTTTCACAGAATTTTCGGTGAAGTGCAGTCAGCGTTTGGGCTAAACGTAGCATCGAATTATCTTCAGAACTTAATTGAGGATGGCTTGTTTTTGTATCAAATCATGAACGGGGTAAAACGACTGTTTTCGCTACATATCTTGACGAGTTAAAATTACGATTTTGGCTATTAGGAAATATTCTGTTATATTTGAATGTCGAAATTCAATTACAATGCACATCACAGTTTTAGAACATATCGTAGGCCCGTCGGTTGTCGATCGGTAGAGGCGTGCTGCGCGTAGTCTGGCGTATGCCAAATGAAGAGAGCGCTTGCTGGAGGAGCTCGGCCGAAGTTCGGCCACTCGTCAACGCACGCTCGAGGCACTGGTGCCTGTGCTGGCGGCATGGTCGGACCGGCGACACGGTGAGCTCTCCTTTCGCCTCACCCAGGTCCTTTCGGGGCATGGATGCTTCGGGAGGTATCTGTGGAGAGTCTGCGGAAGGGAGCCACATCCGGGCTGCCACCAGTGCGGGCACCCGAACGATGACGCTCAGCACGCGCTAGAAGCGTGCCCACGGTGGGAGCACCCGCGGCGAAACCTCGTCGCGGTGTTGGGGCAGGACCTCTCTTTGAGGGCTATCGTCGCCCGTATGGTAGAGGACCGGAGTTCGTGGGAGGCCATGGCTGGGTTCTGTGACTTGGTCATGGCGCTTCGTGAGGCTGAGGAGCGCGAAAGGGAATGGGATCCCTCTTCGGCTCCTCAGCGCAGAAGGCGGGGTGGACGGCGCGTGCGAGAGGCCGCCGCTCAGCCCTCGTAGGGACTATCGAGTGCCGGGTGCGGGGGCGCCCGGCACTCGACTGTTGGTCGGGTGGTGAAGCGGTGCAAGGTGGCTCCTGTGCGCCGCTCACGGTGTGTCTCCCGAGACGAGGTTCTTCGGGATTTTCCCGGGGATGAGATCCCGTCTTAACATTAGTACGGGTACCGGCTAAGGCGAGACTTTCGGCGTGCACCGCGGTACCGTAAGTTTGTAGTCAGTGTGGTGGAGCTCGATAGGGTTTAGTCGGTAGTCGTTCTGCGGAGCAAGTGCTTCGCGCGCCTTTTTCAAGGCGTAGTCTCCTGTGAGAAATTGGGGGAGGTGAAGGACCTCGGCCCTTCTTCCTCTCAGGAGGCGCCGGATTCCGACATAACCCGGTCCGTTACCCCCCTCGACCAGGTATCCGTAAATAGATTCCCCAGCGTTAAAAAAAAAAACCCGTCCTAACAGTTACTACTGTTACTACAGTAATATTTTCTGTTTCTAATAGCTTCGAAAATTCCAGCGAATGTATCATTGCTGAGAATTTATAGGTTTTTGAATTAAAGGGCAACCATGAATATAGCTTGGTTATTTTAATGAAATATTATAAAACTGTTCACGTAGTTAAAATAATTTGGCTGCATAATTTATTGTATTTACTGAAACTAACGATTTCAGGAAAAAGAAAATGTTTTGATGTACGGCTTAATGATAATTTTATATTTAGGAGGTTTGATTTTTCTATCCATTGTGCTGGAGGAAATACGTCGTCAGGTTTGTATGATTTATCAATTTCTTTATATTTTCTATTACCTTGTCATAAAACATAAAAAAATATGGTAATAATAATAGAGTTTGAAATCATTATCATCATCATAGAGTGAAACCGACGTGGCCTAAATGACTAGATGCCCAACGGCAGCCTTGTATCTATGCGGGAGTTCAAAATCTAGAGAAGCGCAACAATTTTTCACTGGTATATACCAAATTTGTGCTTACGAACGAGTGCTTTGTCATATCCTAGTCGCCTCCGCAGTGGTCCGCCAGCTAATGCAAATATTACGCCAATTTAAGCTCGAAAAGTCCTAACCGTGAGAGTGGCGTAGGTGCAGCCATAGTTGCATTGCGCCGAATGATCACCATTGGCTCTATACGATAGCTTTATAGAGGGTCATCATCCACACCAGCTTCACATAGAGTAGATGCATCGTCAAGCCAGGTTAGATTATCGGTATTGAAAAAAAGCTGGCCTAATGTATCAGCCGTGTCAAAAATTCACGGTATCAGGTCAACGAAATTAGCGAGAAAGATCGAATATTGAATATGAGGTTGAAGTACTTCAATTGTACCCGGATAATAATGCGAGCGCCTCATACCACGATATGAGCATTGCCAGTTGGAGCTCTTCGAAACCTGTGAAATAACAAGGCTTGGTATTAGAACGCCCTTCAAGACCCGATCTTTTAATCCAACCGCCGACAAGTTTGTCTCTAGCAGTTGCTAGTCTTGCAAAAATTTGATGTCATATCACAAAGTCGATGACATAATTTACACTTTGATATCTATGTCTTTCAGCAAACAGTCAACAAACGGTGACATCTCTGATGTATATGAAACTGTAATCACTCACAATCACGTGGGTCATGTATTTGGTTGCTAACCTATCAAAAAAATTAGCTACGAATCTATGTTATTCTATGTATTGTATTATATGTCTCACGTGAAGTAAAAGAATAATGTATCTATAGATCGTCCTAAAAAGACTTGGATGGAGTGTGTGAAAGAGGATATGCGAGAGATGAGTGCGCGTGCAGAGACGAGACGTATCATAGACCTGCGCTAATCCCACATAGGATGATTAGGGCAAGTAGAAGAAGAAGAAGAATACTCTTTAGATGTATAACCGATTACTTTAAAAATATTTCTTATCCAGTTTTTTGGAGATAGCATGTTTTTTACAGAATTACGACTTATGTGAATATGTATACGCGTTGCCTTGGGAGGGCATGTCACTTGAAAATCAAAAAATCTTTGTAGTTTTTCTGCAACGAACTCAGCCGGATCTTGAGTTTGAGACTGTCTGCGGCATGAAGGCTGGAGTGAAGCCTGCGTTCTCTGTAAGTTTAGAAATACTAATCGATCAATTGTATAGAATAATCTTTATCCAATAAAATTAAATCACTGATGATAAAATAGAGGACATGGATGGATGGTAGAATAAGATCATACTATGAATGCATCGAAAATCACCGGTATGCCCATACCACTATCACGTTTACTTACGTCACGAAGTGGTAATTCCTTCGGCTTTGAAGAAAACGGCAAAAGCCGTTATTCGATACAATGTAACTATTTACAAAGTGTGCTTAAAATTTACGGCCCATTTGGTGCTACAGTCATCAAAACGTAAGCGTCGCGAACCGCCTTGGGATTTGAGCTCGAAGTTTAAAATTCAATTTTTTTTTTTTTACTTAGATGGGTATACAAACTCTTGCCTATCTGATATTAAGTTGTATCAGAACCCACTGCCACCACCAACTTTGAGTCATGCGTTCTATGTTTTTTTTTTGTATTGCCCTTGTAGGCAGACGAGCATACGGCCCACCTGATGGTGAGTGGTTACCGTCGCCCATGGACTTCAGCAATGCCAGGGGCAGAGCCAAGCCGCTGCCTAGTGCTTAATACTCTCCACAAGCCTCTTTTAAAGAAGGACATGTCATAGCACTCAGGAAACACCGTGGAGGTGTGCTCATTCCATAACCGGATGGTACGTGGCAAAAAAGACCTCAGGAAACGCATTGTCGATGACCGCAGTGGCTCCAGGTAGTATAGATGAACTCTACTCCGGTGGCGGGCGGTGCGATGGTAAAAACGAGATGCCGGTATCATCTCGAACAATTCCTCAGAGCACTCCCCATGGAACATACGGTACAAAATACAGAGGGAACCGAAGTCCCTCCGCAGACCCAAAGTTTCCAAATGCCTACACCGCCCTTCAAACTGAAACGCATTACTGCCTTACACTAGAAATAGGCGTGGCGATAATACCCACGTGAACACACATGACGCCCTACCTCTAGTAAAACAGCTGCCTACTCTTCAAACAGGAACTCATTACTCAATCGTGGCAAAAATAGGTAGGATAGTCGTACATACTCCTGTGGTATTATCTTACCACCAATTGATTGTTAGTATTTATTTCCTGCAAAGCGTTGCTGCAAAAATTGTTATAGGATTGAGGTAAGTATCGATTAGCACTTATACAATTTACCAATACGGTTCAGAAATATAAAGCTATGCAAATAAATAACAAAAAATAATCCATTGTTTTGTATGAAATATAAAATCGGCATTTGCAGTTCAGAACCCGAATTAAGCTTTTTCTAATTCCCAATGGTTCATTAGTTCAATCCCCTTTATGCAATTTCAGATTAAAAGACAATGAATTTCATATATTGTTTTCAGATAGTTAAATCTATGTTCTCTTACTACGTGATGATAAATTCAAGATTTTAAAGGTAAGGGAAAAGGAATGTTCAATAACAAAAAAAAACGTATTTTCTTTATTGAGCAATTAAGGTATTATGATTTGTTTTGTCGACGTTATTTAGTTTTTGGAAGCGTAATAAGTGGAATGGTAGGAAATAATAAAACCAAAACAACGAACACAGGATTTAACGGTAAACATAGTTTTAATTATGTAAATTGTTAAACAGTTTGAGGGAACTAACGGAACTGCTCTCAAGTTCGGAAGTATATATTTTAATTCATCATCATCATCATCATCATCATGTCCACTGCTAGATATAACCACTACCAATGTGCGCCATTGAGCATACTTTATCCCTCTTCATCTAAAATTGGTGATGTACTCGAGACTTGGCTATATGTTATATTGGGCACGAGTTCAAAACAATCGGTTCAGAACCCCTAATTTGAATATTCCCCCCAGAGGCGGGAGCTCGTATGGAGAAGAAAGCTCCAGCCTAGCCTTTCTTCAGTTTACTACGTCAGCGTTAACGAAAATATTAATTTTCAAAGAGCACAGAAACCTACTTTTATCGTAAACTTTTTTCTTCTTGTTTTTTCAGACTGGCAATCGGCTTCTTGTGATGCCGTTGTTGCTAGCGTTAACTTTACTTATACTTCAATTATTGTAAACTACGCATAGGTATATGTTATCTTCAATGAGAAATGAAATGAAATCAAATTAATTAATTTGAAATAGTAATTGATTGGGATGAAATTGAGTGAAATCAAATGGAACAAAACGAGATAGTTTGATATAAATAAAGTTCTAGTAAAATATTTTGAAATCTTCAGACACTTCAGTGTAATTTTCCGAAGAACCCGAGAAGCATCGTCCAGCAATTTTATTTAATTTTGCCATATTTTTCACAGATATTAAAGTCAACCACTATTATTAGACGTTTAAACCTAAAAAAATACTTAACTAACCAACTAAAACCTCTCACACGAACAACGTAGCTCATGAAAAGTTGCTGATCGCCTGCTTAGATTTTCTACATTTTGCGTAAACCATAAAAAAAAAAAAACAAAATCCATTATTTTCCTATGAATAATTTTCGTTTACGTGAGCGGTATACTGTTTTTTTTTTTATTCGCTATCAACATTTTTTTTTGTATCTTAGACTTTTATGTTATATTTTAATATAGGCAATATTTGATATACAATTTTTTTTAACTGTATAAATTTAAGCTCATCCCTCACATCGTTCACAATGTTACTGTATTAATGAATAATTGTCTTAAATTTAATCTTGAATTTATTAATGTCAAAACGATAGCTGTATCCACGCTCGAATTATGTCTGCGAAGTATCTGATATTTTGAAAATACAATTTACTAGCCGCATAATTAATAGAAATTAACGATATTATTCGAAATATAAAAGTAATCTGTGACCACGGAAACTAACAATGAGGTAATAATGTCCAATGAATTGGGGAAACGTGCGATACACTCATGCGATTTAACTGTTGTAAATCATGTCATTGTGCACAATTCAATACACTATTAAACTCAGATCTAAATGCTTTAATTCTCTTATTTCATATATAGCACTCACTTGTTTTTATTGAAATGTGGAACAAATAATCGAAATTGTTATTTCAAGCAAAACTGAAATGAAATTTACACTAAAATATTCTTGACATTAATATACTATATCGTTATACTATTGTAAATTTGAATAATTCATAGTATATTTAAGAAAAAGCTTTCAAATATCAATTTAATTAAATATTTCGTTCACTATAAAGTGTTTTTTTTTATCGGTTTGGAAAAAGTGGGCGGTACTCAATTTACAAGGCGTTAAAATCCATAGCTATAAATAGGTAAAGTGATTAGTGTACTGAAATGTAACATGACTACGCCGACATTCAAATCTTGCAGGTATTTAGCAAATTTCTTCATAGGTTTTGCAGCTGCAGCTATATAGCTAGATGAATCCAACAAAAACGAAAATTGATCCTACAGTCCTTACTTTATACAAGCTCAAGGTGCGTGGTTCTATCCATTTAACACCACGGATGCGAGCTTCTTTACCCAACTAGAACATAAAAAACAACCCAAAAACGACAAGGGACGTGAGAACGCGCGGTGCGGCCTAATTGTACCTACGTTTTGTCATGTCACTACACAGGATACTGGAGGCAGTTGACAGTGCTTCACTTTGTCCTTTTCGATCAGTGGACTACAAAATCCGAGTAAATAGTACCGCCGAATCAACAAAAAAGGAATTTTCCCACTCACACTCCTCTGCCTCAATCTTCAATCAATCAATGAAATACAAAGTGTAAAAACTCGTCCATTTAAGCCTTATTAGTCAAAACGATAAGTGGTTTAATAAGTCTCACTCGCCAGTCTTCAAGCCTTATAAAAATAAGTTAATAGATAAAATAAAAGATCCGCTTGGAAGGATACACGAATACACAAGAGACAAAATCTTCGGATTTTGTATGTATAAACAATAAAAGATCACCTTAATGTATTATTCTATCTGTGTACGATATGTTTGCCTGTAACGATCCCAGAACGTATGTATTTACGCAAAAAAGTAAGTGTCGGCAGATTGGAACGAGGTTCATTAGAGTGGACCCGTACGAGCCTATAGAAGTTAATCCAGTTAGGAAAATTAGGCTGCAGTACCTACACGGACAGCTGGACCGACCGCAAACAAATTGGACCTTAGCTAACATACCAGCCTAAAGTTTTACTGTCAAATACGGGTCCCAACGATAAGTGCTTACCGAATTAGTACTTATAACCTACCTTCATACAGTGGAAAATTCAAACAAAGTACACTTAAATAACAAATTACAGGCAGTCATAATAACATTAAATGCAAATAAATAGAATGAAGAAACTCTCTTGAAACTTCATAAAGGCATTCGTAGCTCATTGGAAATTCAGTCAAGTGAACTGATTACATAACAAATTACGATACAAAGAACTTTTGAGAACTTTTTTTTTGTTTCTTTTTAAAACTAATTATGAGGTGGGGAAATACTGCTATTTTAAGAAGCATATTCTATAATTATCCGAGATTAAATATAACTAGTAACTTAAGCAAGTACAAATAGTAACTAATTACATACAAACCGAGGAATGCCATGGAAAACGTAACCGCGTCGCACGAGACTGCTAAAACAGCACATTAGCTGATTGTTAAATAAATTATGTTTTACATTGCGCGGAGATAAGATTTTCAAAGAATCAGAATTAAAAGCCTGCATATTAAATAACCTTTTTAATTTTTTTTGTTAGACGGGTGCACGATGCGACGGTTCTCCTGGTGTTACGTGGTTTCCGAAGATCATCAGACCACTGAGTTTCTCGCCGGATCTTCTCAGTGGATCGCATATCCGACCCGGTGGTAGATTCTGCGAAGCACTGCTCTTGTTAGGGCTAGTGTTAGTAACACCTGCTGGTTTGAGTCCCAAGAGCTTACCTACACGTTAGGGTTACGCTGACATAGTCTCTCAAGGCTATCAGATTAGGTAGGAAAAAAAAGGAGCTCATAGATAACACAAAATGAAAGCCGCCATTCACCTTGAAGCTTGAGGCTTATGTCTCAATAGTTTAACTATTATAAGAAGTTCTGTAAGTTTGTTTATTATTACATGATGTGCTTTATCGCCTCGCATTGAGATAATGAGGCAATTACGTATTTCTCTACAAAAAACATTACCTGTCTGCGGGATTCGAACACCGTTATACATAGTTACATCAGTCTATGCGAGTGAACCGAGCGTCTTATCCTTTTAGGCCACGACGACTTCACACACATTCTTTTCAGGGGCTTACCGGTAAAATAAACGAAACAAAAAATAGTGTAGGATTTTTTTATTTCATTCTTTGTTGATACATAAAAATATAACACTAGAACAATACAAACATATTGTTGCTATCTGTTACAAAGGGGAAATAGTTCATTATTTCGTAGGGTGACATCGCTCCTGGCCACGCGTCGAGATAAGAGTAAAATGTGCTAATAAACGACGATCATGTGGCTTTTATTGCAAAACATTATAGCAATTGTGAACTAATCTGTTGGCGCCAGGACTGTTTGGACGTTGGCTTATTCTAGAAAATGTTTATTTTTTTTATGCCTGCCAAGCCAAGCCCGAATCCAGGTTTGAACGATAGGTTGCTATTTTAATACCCATATTTTCCTTTGTATTATTCTAAGCTGTTCATACCAGTAATATTTCTTCAGTATTTTTTATTTATTTCTTAAGTTGGTAATTTTTTTTAAATTGTTTTATATTAGTTATGACACCGTAGACCGTACCATAATAGCGAATAGTATATTGGTATCTACCCATGTAAGCTTATGCTAGTACTGGCATAAAAGTTTTGGGCATTGGCGGTCAAAATTTAATAGCGGAAGAATCTTTTTTCATTGGCAACAGAAACGTATGGGCATGTATTTCATGACAAAAAAAGATAGGGTCGTGATGCCTATTCGGGCGCGAACATCGTCTCCCGCTATCAGAAAAGTAGCTAAGAAGAAGATACTGTTGCTACTACCGGTCACCGTCCTCGTTGAACCCGTCGCTTACGACGAAGGGCTCCACGAGCGAATTAACCCATAGACACAGCGGACTGATTTTCTCGCCGTATCTTCTCTGTGGGTCGCGTTTCCGATCCGGTGGTAGATTCTGCGAATCACTGCTCTTGCTAGGGCCCGTGTTAGGCAGCACTCCGGTTTGAGCCTCGTGAGCTCACCTACCTGTTAGGGCGAAGCTGAAATAGCCTCTCAAGGCTATTTCAGGCTAGGTAGGAAAAAAAAAGTTGCTACCATGAGTTACATGGCCAGTGTCTTGTACTTCTATTGTCTGATGAATGCACAAGTCAATTATCATAAACCACATAAATAAATAGCCAACGATTGAATTTCAAACGAAGTCGTTTAGCCTTTTGATGCCATTGACAAGTGCTAAGTTTTTGTTCGGTTTTGAGAAAATCTGTGTGATTTCACCACTAAGTCGTGAGGTGCTATCTAATTTGCAGCTATACAGGTAGAACTTTCTGTATCACCTATAACATACATAAACTTATTGAAAGGCCGTGATTGATTATGGGACTCACAACTGCACCGATTGCAGCTGTACGTTTTTATCTCAATCAAATCTTAGGAGAGACATTTGTTCGCCAAAGAAACTCCCTTGAGTATCTCCAATTTGCGAATTCAGTCCAAGCCAATAGTCATTGTGATTTTTTGCGTTAGTTAATAGACTTTATTTATTACCCATTTTGTAGGGGGATAATTAATTCAGGACCATAGTTACTATGTCCGAGTCTTAACCTACGAGCTCATTCATAGGATTGTTTCCATGAGAATCACTTTCTTTGTAAATTACTGGTGGTCTGGAAGCATTTCCATTATCACTAGGATAGGTGGGCGAGTAAAGGCTTAGCCAGAAGGATTTACTAATGGTTGCCAGAGTGACTCCAAAGGAGTTTAGGTTAGGTTGCACGTCGAACTCTGTGCCGAGTTCAACGAGTACGGTTACCAGGGGTCCTTAAGCCTGCTCCTAATGTTGTGTTCTAATGAAAGAGTTATTGGATCTAATGGATCCATAAGGACGTATCTAGGCCGTCGACGGTGACTGGCTCCTGCGTGATCAAGATTCTGGGAATAGTCAGCGGTGGTAGCTATAAGGCGATTATCATAACGCATAGCCTTATCGAAGTTCCGACGTTAGCTTAATGGGTTTGCGGATCGATTCGAGGCCCAGGTTATCGTGTATGTAGACGTTTCTCACAAACTACGGAGCTCCGACGGCTAACCTGCAAAAGCGGTATTGTAGGCATTGGAGGGTATCTATGCGTGTGCGAGCCGCGTCATCGAACACCACACTCGCATAAGTCATTACGGGCCTTATGCAAGTTTTATAAAGCGCCACCTTATTCCGAAGGGACATTTTGCTTTGCTTACAGATCATGGGATAGAGTCTGCCAAGAATAAGCGCGGCACGGTCGCGAACTGATTTTATATGTGGGTGGAATGTCATAGTCTATGCATCCAGAGAGACTCCCAGATACTTGATCTTCCTGTTCAAGGGTACGGGTTGGCCGAAAAGGTATCTTGATTTGCGGACTTGTGAATGTTTGCTCTTGATCCAATAAAGGGTGCTAGTGGATCAAGGACAAAAAAATTTAGCGCACGTATCCCTGGTAATAATACCCACACGGTAATTCCAAATTTAGGCTTGTAGTTCATTACTGTGGCCATTAAAGAATTGCAGAACAAAATTACTTTCTGATAATATTTTTATGTGCTACTTTTCGTGCTGTAATAAAAGTGACAAACGCTGCGATCTTTTTTGGGTCAAAAAAGGTATCTGCGAATTTCGTTCTTCGAACAAATCGAAATTTGCAGACTTCACAAACGACACCTTTAACACCTTAAGGTGGATACGAGTAATCCTATTTCGTGAGGATTTCGGCAAACAACACGTATTTACTCGACTCTGAATAAGATCGATTCGTACTAGCGCAGATTTAATAAGGTCGTAGACGCTTTGACGTTTCTATTACAGGATATTGGCATTGACATGGCACAGTGTATTCCGTATTCTAAACTGTTTTCGATAGTTGATGTTCAATGTTTTAATTTTTTTAGAGTTTTTCAAGTCAGAACAGCGTCTTTTGGGCCGGC